CAGCTTAAGAGCATAAGCAGCAGAGGAGGTTTCAGGAAATGTTGGATCACATGATAGGTAAAGCCTTCCTTCTCCAACCGGTAAATTCTGGGTAAATTAAATGTGGTCCTCCAAAACCCCCAGTCCCTTATCCGTATTATTCCTAATCCCACCCTTCCTCCAAGAACAAGCTAAATGGCCTTTCTTTACTCCCCATTATTTTCTTTTAACAACGGATTAAGACAGTGGTTCTCAACCTTTTTAATGCCGCGACGCCCAACCGGTTGTAAGTCGAGGACTACTCAACCGGTTGTAAATCAAGGACTACCTAACCGGTCGTAAGTCGAGGACTACCAAACCGGTCATAAGTCGAGGACTACCCAACCGGTCGTAAGTTGAGGACTTTCCCTGCCTGGGAGCACTGCCCATGCGTGGTGCCGCCCCCTGTGCCGGCCGAGGCGTAGCTGGCAAGCGGCAGAGACGGAGCAGGCCGACCACCAGCTGGGCCATCAGCTGGCCCAGCCCAAGGGAGATAAGGCACTCACCCCACGTGTGCCAGCAACCCTCCCTGCACCCGCCGGCCTCCCACCCCTGGCCCTTTTTACTTACATTTTTAGTAGTTGCTCAGCAGGGAGGGGTGGAAACTTCCAGACAGCTCGCCTTCGCTGCAGACAACTTGCAGTACTGTTTGCAGAATGGGACTTTTGGCGGGCTCAGCAGGACAGAGACAGCCTGGACAATTCCTATTGGCTTTTGAAAGCCAATAAAATTAGACTCTATTCAAGAGAGTCTATTCGATTGGCTTTCAAAAGCCAATAGAATAAAAGGGAGTAGCACAGCTAAGGAAAAGGGGGAAAAAATGGCGGACTGCGTTGTTTGGCGACCCCCGTGAAATGGTTGTTCGACCCCAAATGGGGTCCCAACCCACAGGTTGAGAACCGCTGGATTAAGAGAACCTCAAAAAGAATGAATGGACGGTCCCAAGTCATTTAGTGGATGTGCTTCAGATTTAATCAAGTCAATGAAAAAGCTGTGATGGTTGCATTCATATGACATCTTAAACTAAACAGTGACTAATGGGTGGAGAAACACGGGGGGGGGCAAAATAAAAGTGGGTTAGTGGGAAGAGCCCAAAACAAGCAATGGGTGGAGCCAAGTGGAGTTTGCAAAACTGGAAGGTAGAATCTCACTTCTCTTCTTTTTGTCACCCTATCCTTTCTGCTGCCGTTCTGATTTTGGCATCTCTCTTTGACTATCTCTGTGCATCTCAAGACACACGTCCCTATCCAAGGGACATCTAAACATTCTGAAGGAGGTCCAAAATGGGAAGAAGAAAAATGGAAGAGTTGTTCATCTTCCCGGATAAGTTTTCCCTTCAACAATCTTAGAAGCCCAATGATAGTTTGGGCAAAAAACTTTGGACATTCCATAGACTTAGAAGACTGGCAAAAGCTTTGGGATAGAAACATCAAACTTACCAAAGCAACCTCATATAAAGAAAATTTATATAAAATATTTTATGGATGGCATATGACACTAGTTAGATTAGCGAAAATGTTTTAAAATGTATCGAATAATTGTTGAAAATGTAAACAAAAACCAGGTACCTACTATCATATCTGGTGGGTATGTCCTAGCGCTAAGTAGTTTTGGTTTAAGATTCATATATGTCTGGAAAAGATGACTAAAATACAGATAGAATTTAAGCCAGAACTGTTTTTGTTGGGAATACTAGGACTTAATTATGGAAAAGAGAATGAATATTTAATATTACATGCATCGACAGCCGCAAGAATAGCATTTGCCCAATTCTGGAAAAATGAAAATTTACCATCTGACCAGCTTAAAATTACAAAAATTTTAGAATGTGCAGAAATGGGTAGACTAACCTTAGAGATTAAAGAGAGAGAAGACTCAGTTTATTTTAAAGCATGGGAAAAATTTTATCAATGGTTAGCAACACGACCTAGTGAGAAAGGGTTATGAAATTTAATAGGATGAATGATATCTATTGATTAGTTATTATTTTTATGATTATTGCTATTGTTATTGATTATTGTTAGTTACCATTATATTAATTACTGTTATTTAATATTTGTATCCGGACAACAGTCTGCTTGCCAAAGCATGGAATTACTGTTGGGGGCAACCCCATTTTTGTACCTATACTTACCCCACCCCACCCCTGAACCCCACCCAATACCCAAAGTGATCCTATCCTCTCCTTACCTTCGTAAAACCTAATAAAATATTTTTTTTAAAAAAAACAATCTTAGAAGCCCTACTCTGAGCCTCTCCGAATAATGGCACCCACGGAGCATACCTGTGCATGAATCCACCGTATCACCCAAGAGTTTCCACACCACTTGTCCATGAAAGAGTCAGAGGACAAAGAGTTCCCAGACAGAGGAATAAATAGAGAGGTAGGATGACTTCAGGAAAGTATTACATTAAAGGCACTGAAGGACAGCCAAGATATGTTTGGGAAGGGGGAGAATATTGGCAGCCCTATAACTGTCAGATCTCCAGGATTAATATCCAGCTCCATGATATAAGTCCTTGCTTGGCTGGGAAAGTAGCCAGACATCTTTCCCTCTCTCTGGGAGATACAATGAAAGGAGGTGTGGGATAGAAATGTCTTCTTCCTGCATACCTGGACAGCATTTATTATTTGGTCTTCAGCCCAGAACTTATCTACTATATTGGCTTAGTTGTGAATATATGAAGCAGTCTCATGTGGAGAGCAATTGGTCCTCTGAGGCTGAGGTAGCCTGCTCTGCCAGAAGGCTACCCCTGGAGGATAAAATAGGGATGCTTCCCTTCACCTGCTATAACTGGATTTTTCCAATGGAATCCAGCCTCTGGCATGCCAAGCAGGTACTTTAAGAAGCCGCCACGATCCCTTCCCAAAGAGAGGCTCACTCTGGAATGTGTGCAGGAGCCCTCCAAAAGGAAAGAACACCATTGAATATTACAAAACTGTACTAGCACAATTGGCAGGGATCACAATCCTGGCTAGGTCCTTTCAACATCAGGGGTCAGAGTTCCCACTTAAATGGCACAGTGGTGGTGATTGTTTTATTTATTTACATCCTGCCTTTGTTATTTTTATAAATAACTCAAAGTGGCGAACATGCCTAACCCTTCTTCCTTCTCCTATTTTCTCCAAAACAACAGCAACACTAAGGTGGGTTGGGCTGAGAGAGAGTGACTGGCCAAAAGGCACTCAGTTCAGTCTCCGGGTTTCTAGCCTGGAGCCTGAACCGCCACACCAAGCTGACTCTAGTGATGATGGATACAAGCACACCTTTCACTAGACTCTTCCTCCCATATAATTACTTTAATTAATCCACAATACTTCTGGAACTCTCTATAGCTCCTTGCATCCAATTCCAGCTTTCCCCAATCTGGAGTTTTTCCTGAGGGTTTAAAACTACAATCCCCATCATCCCAAACTGATATGTCAATCGCTTGAGACTAATGGGAACTGTAATGCAACATATCCCAAAAGGTATCAGCCTGTGTAAAGCAGTCCTGACTAAACCTGAGAAGATAAAACTGTTTTCCTAGCGCTTCACTTTAGTTCTTCCTCGGCTCTCTCCACCTTTCCTTTCTTACATCCCCTTTGGGGCAGCGTCCAGTCTCTTCATTCTTCTTCGGTGCTGTGAGTACTGAAAACAAAAGTCTGACATCTCCATTGGACAAATCAAGATCACAAACTCCGCAGTTTCTCCTTGCTGAAGAAAGCCCAATAACACCCATGTATAATAGATAGCAAACAATTCCCATTGCTCCTCTTATAGCCAACCTGCTCAGTCTTGCCATACCTCATTTAACCATCTTTGCTAGTAACTGAAAGAGGGGTCAGCTTGTTTGAAGGAGAGAAAAATGAGGAGCTGGAAAGACCTTCACTGAAGCTGCTATCATTTCAGGGGCCACGGGAGTATCATTGGGGTGTAGGTGAGGCTCATCCCCCTCCTGTCCTGCCATCACAGTCCTTTCTCAAAAATAGACCAGCCCAACACTCTCCAGTCACTTGGGATTCCCATTTGACAGGTATCCTAGACTCCGGTCAAACACATCTGGAGGAGCAGAGGATGCTTTGGCTCAGAAGGCTGCAATGGGGGGGGGGGAGAGAAAGAGTGAAGGATCTCTGTCAAGGTTATTCTCCTCCCTTCCTACTACAACTCAAGCTGCCGTTTGTGGTCCTGCAGCTGTCTGGTCTGCCAGGGTGAGGGAGAAATTGGTGGGGCTCATCTGTCTGCAGATGGGCAGGACAGGTGGTCCAGATGGGGTGCTTCTGAGGCCGAGGGCTCCTCAGGCCAAGCAGAAGCACCAAGTGAGGGAGGCAGAAGGGTCCTCCCAGGCCAAAGGCAGAGGAAGTGGCTCTCCTCCTTCTCTTCCCAATCTCTGGTGTGTCTGTGCTGAGGGCTACGGCTGTGCTCCCAACTGCCACTTTCTGCATCTCAACAGCATTGTGTGGCTAACACCCTCACGACAACCTCCAGAGGCACACGTGGAACGAGTAGATGTCATGTTCACACAACACCTTGGTTCTGGCATGATCCCATTTATGAGGCTTGTACTGTATTAGCCCAGCAAGATTCCCACAACCCTGTTAGCTATGAACAGACAAAACCAAGCTCAAAACTAAACCAGCTGGGCACATTTACAAAGGTAGCAGGTGATGTGTGAATGCTGCCTGCACGTGAAGCGGAGGGCATGTTTGCTCAGCTCTCCATCAAACTTGATACTCCATCTTGTGATCTATAACTCCTATGATGTTGCTAGGGGGGTGTATACAGAGAGTCCAAATAGGCGATAGCCACTGTGATGGGCATTGTAGTCTGAATTGCTTGGGCAACACTGGTTCAGCAAAGCAGAAATGGCCAAGCCAGGATGTCTGCTCCTCATCACTGAACAGCATGAATTCTTGGGGTGTCTCTTTGTCCCACCTCTCAGATTTTAAGTCCTGCATCTTACAGATCCCATTTCCAACCTTGTCCTCCCAGCTCACTTACCTGCTTTCTGTAGAGTCCACGACCGCTGAAGGAGCACCAGCAGGAAACCAATGACTTCCCAGGGCATCTCTGGACAGTGTCACTCACCCCTGCTCTGGGCATCAAGGCCACCCCACAGTTGGAGGGAACCGCCAGGATCCCAACTTAACAGCTAGAGCTGACAACTAGAGCTGCAACGGGTCTCTGAACTGGGTCTCTGAACTGTCACGGTGCCGGGCAGGAGCCTACGGATCAAGGGGTCAACTGGATCAGTGGGCAATTGTCCTGGTCCCGGAAACCTGCTTTCGCTGTCCAGGGTGGTTCTGTCGTGGGAACTATGCTGCTTTTCCTCCCGGTTTCCAAAAGGGTAGCGCGTCGGAGGCTGCCTTCTCCCGGTTTGAAGGAGCACCAGTCGATGCGCATCTGGAGTCTTTACTCGGGAGTCAGGAGCCTACTAGGCGCCCTCCCAAACTCAGCCACCGATCGGGCTTGTCGTTCCGGGACGACATTTGGGATTACTCCGGGTCGGAGATCATCCTGGTGGCGGGACTGAAGACGCGCCTCGCAGACGGGATTGCGCCTCGCCCTTCTCGGCTTCGCTCCCAAACTTCAGATCTCAAAGCGGATGAATCGCCTGCCAGAAGCGGGATGCTTAGGGATCGTTCCCTAGTCTCTGTCTCTCCGCCTCCCTTCCCCGCCTCTCTTGGCTCCCGACCAATCTGCTCCCCTCTGGAATGAATCCGGATATCTCCGGATCTCTCCCCCTACACACTCCTCTTCCGACCGGTCTGCAGGTCAAGCCCCGTCCCCGCCAGGTGTCATCCTCAGGTGAGTGTCTTCGATCCCTCGAGGAATCTCGCTCGGCGTCTACTGGACGGTGGCGTCCGGAGCAATCCTCCCAGCCGCCACCGCCGATCCCCGAAGGACCAAATCCGAGGGGAGTCGCACCGTGGCGCTTGTTTATCTCGGTCGGGTGACGCAGCTCAGGTAGCCCGAGTTGGGGTCGTCTCGGCTGGGTGAGGGAAGAGATCGGATCCTCCAAGAGCCGTCCTAAAGCGAGAGGACCACCTGTCGCAGCCCAGCGCGCCCCGAGTTCGACGACGCCTGGCCAGATGGCTCTCTTCTCGGACGCTGCAGCTGCCGCCGCGCTCGTTCCCCCAGCCCGCTCCCCTGGCAGCCGGAGGCAGAAGGGAAGGCGGCTCCCCCGCCATCCCCACCCCACTCCCAGCAGATCTCCCCGCCCTGGCCGGCGGCCGCCCCTGGGACGTCCCATCCCGGAGAGGGAGGGCCGACGGAGTGGGAGGAGGGAGAGGCTCTTCGGCGGCGTCGGCTTTGCAAGCGAGTCGCTTTGTGCGCCGCCTTGAAATCCGAGACGGGGCGGGGCAGGGGGGCGGAGCCAAGGAAGGAGGAGGGAGGACGAGGCGGTTCGTAACCCGAAAACGGGAGTGTTGGGGACGCGGGCGTGGGGCGATGGAAGTTGCTGGATGGCCAGAATCGGAGCAGGCTTGGCCTATGGATCGCACGCCGCCCGGCAGCTTTTGTTCAACACCAGCCCTGCATCAGCAAGAGAAAGCCATCCAGATGAAGATCACTGATGAGATAGCAAACGATCACCTAGGAAGAACAAAAATAACACCACGAATACTACAGAAGGGTTCATTGAACAACAGAATCAGTGAATCAACCCTTTTAACAAAGACAGACCGCGTTTGAAAAAACCAACCAAACAAACCGTAATTTTAAAAAGTGCTCTGGCAACCTTCCCAGAAGCAAAGCGAGTGGGTGGATATGTATTCATCTGCCGGAATGCCGTTTCTCATAAGCTGGGTCAGTGGGCATCTACAAAACGAGATTGTCTACTGTAGTCAATAACAGACAAGGTCATAGAATATGGGCAATCAGTCAGATAGCCAGGATCGAACATAGAAGCTTTTGTGTCGGAAAAGCAAATGGCACCTAGCAGAGATATTTCATAATTGAAGTACCCCGCCCCAATCAGTACTCCTTCTAACTGCAACATTTCACACCAATAGAACCTTCTGGACATCCTTCAAGGGTAGCCCTAGGTATGTTGTTGTTGTTAATTGCGAAGTCGTGTCCGACCCATCGCGACCCCATGGACAACATTCCTCTAGGTCTTCCTGTCCTCTACCATCTTCTGGAGTCCATTTAAATTCTACTGCTTCAGTGACTCCATCCAGCCATCTCATTCTCTGTCGTCCCCTTCTTCTATTGCCCTCAATCTTTCCCAGCATTAGGCCCTTCTCCAGTGAGTCCTTCCTTCTCATTAGGTGGCCAAAGTATTTGAGTTTCAACTTCAGGATCTGGCCTTCTAAAGAGCAGTCGGGGTTGATCTCTTCTAGGACTGACCGGTTTGAACGCCTTGCAGTCCAAGGGACTCGCAGGAGTCTTCTCCAGCACCATAGTTCAAAGGCCTCAATTCTTTGCGCTCAGCCTTTCTTATGGTCCAACTTTCACAGCCATACATTGCAACTGGGAAAACCATGGCCTGGACTATACGCACTTTTGTTGGCAGGGTGATGTCTCTGCTTTTTAGAATGCTGTCTAGATTTGCCATAGCTTTCCTCCCCAGGAGCAAGCGTCTTTTAATTTCTTGGCTGCAGTCCCCATCTGAGGTGATCTTGGAGCCCAGAAAAATAAAATCTGTCACTACCTCCATTTCTTCCCCATCTATTTGCCAGGAATTGAGAGGGCCGGATGCCATGATTTTGGTTTTCTTAATGTTGAGTTTCAAGCCAACTTTTGCACTCTCCTTCTTCACCCGCATCAAGAGGCTCTTTAGTTCCTCTTCACTTTCTGCCATTAGAGTGGTATCATCTGCATATCTTAGGTTGTTGATATTTCTCCCGGCAATCTTAATTCCAACTTTTGATTCATCTAGCCCTGCCTTTCTCATGATGTGCTCTGCATATAAGTTAAATAGGCAGGGCGACAGTATACAGCCTTGCCGGACTCCTTTTCCAATTTTGAACCAATCAGTGGTTCCGTGTTCGGTTCTCACTGTTGCTTCTTGACCCGCATATAGGTTTCTCAGGAGACAAATGAGATGGTCTGGTACTCCCATCTCTTTAAGAACTTGCCACAATTTGTTGTGATCCACACAATCAAAGGCTTTTGCATAGTCAATGAAGCAGAAGTAGATGTTTTTCTGGAACTCCCTAGCTTTCTCCATGATCCAGCGTATGTTGGCAATTTGATCTCTAGTTCCTCTGCCTCTTCGAAATCCTGCCTGTACTTCTGGTAGTTCTCGATCCACATACTGCTGGAGTCTAGCTTGTAGGATTTTAAGCATAACTTTACTAGCGTGTGAAATGAGTGCAATGATGCGATAGTTTGAACATTCTTTGGCATTGCCTTTCTTTGGAATTGGAAGGTAAACTGACCTTTTCCAATCCTGTGGCCACTGTTGAGTTTTCCAAATTTGCTGGCAAATTGAGTGTAGCACTTTTACTGCATCGTCTTTTAAGATTTTGAATAGCTCAGCTGGAATACTGTCACCTCCACTAGCTTTGTTGTTGCTCAGATTTTCTAAGGCCCATTTCACTTCACATTCTAGGATGTCTGGTTCAAGGTCAATGACCATCTCATTGTGGTTATCTGGGATGTTAAGCTCATTCTTGTATAGTTCTTCTGTGTAGTTTTGCCATCTCTTCTTAATCTCTTCTGCCTCTGTTAGGTCTCTGCCATTTTGGTCCTTTATCATGCCCATCTTTGCATGAAACGTTCCCTTCATATCTCCAATTTTCTTGAAGAGATCTCTGGTCCTCCCTGTTCTGTTGTTTTCTTCTATTTCTTTGCACTGTTCATTTAAGAAGGCATTCTTATCTCTTCTAACTACTCTCTGGAATTCTGCATTCAATTGGGTGTATCTTTCTCTTTCTCCTTTGCCTTTCACTTCCCTTCTTTCCTCAGCTATTTGCAAAGCTTCCTGAGACAGCCATTTTGCTTTCTTGCATTTCTTTTTCTTTGGGATGGTTTTAGTTGCTACCTCTTGTACAATGTTGTGAACTTCCATCCATAGTTCTTCAGGCACTCTGTCTATCAGATCCTAGGTATAGCTCACTGCAATAAGCCAGTCATGGTGGATAAAATATAGACAAATGTGGGGAGAAAACTTTTACCGCTGATGCACTCCACTTAATTGCACAAACATTCCATTCCCTTCTACCGCTGCCACTCAAAGTCTGGAAGCCAAGTGGAGCAAAGAAGCATTTCCAAGAAACCTGTAACTCTTTGTAGAGCAATTTGAAATCTAAACCTGGGCCAAGGTATCTCTTCATCGGTAGCAGCTCCAAATTAGCTCTGCTTGTTTGCACTCATTCAGCCCAAAACTGAGACAGTCCAAGTGACAGTCCGAGATATCAACTACTTCCTCAGTGTGATCAATACATGGATGACACTCCAAATCTCACCTAGTGGTTTCAAGTCAATGTCACAAAAAACAGGGAAAATGCTTCTCTGATTTTACATGGCCCAAAGGTCGTTTTGGACCCCACTTCAAAAGGCAGAAAGAGCTAAGATTAGGGGCTATCCAAGAGAATTTTGGAACATCTACACAATGTTTCCATGGCTCAAAACTTGCTAGAAACTCACAGAAACAGTCTGATCTCACTGTTTATTAATTTAAGCAGAAATGCTGCCTCTACATAATTCAGATGCTTTTCTTTTTTTATTACAATGATTTGTATGTCAACTAATTCACTAGACTGATGCGTATTATTAAATCAAATATTTTGGCAATAAAAAGAGTTTCCAGATATGAATCTAGGGTGAATTTGTATGGTACCCTGCTTCATATCTTTGCAGTAAATTTGAAAAAAAATATATGACAACATTCCAAAGTGGAAGAGTTAGTGGTGAGAGCAGCCTTCCCCAAAATTGCCTCTCCCTCCAGGTGTAGCAAATACGTCTCCTTTCATCTCCACCTAAATCGCTCTCTTGATAATTCTCAATTGATGGCAAATGCATTTCTGACTCCCAGTTATTTAGCAAAAAAAAAAACCAGGATCAAATTCTGTTCCCCCCACAGATGTTGCTGAGATATAAGAAAAATAAAACAAAACAATCAGAAGTGGGGTTTCATGAAAAAGGACTGTTATTTCAGCACTAAACTACATTCAGAGGTACTTCTGCTTCTTGACTCCCTCCATTCCGATTCATCTTCTAAGGCACTGTTTGTCACCTACCCTCCAAGTTATGGATTTGGAGGTTCCAGCAAAGACAGCCAATTCAGAAAACCTAAGTCTGCCCATCCCTGGCACTGCAACATTCAATTGGTTTAAGAAACTGATTTAGCTACTGTGGATTTCCTTCAAAGATTCTTGGGAACCATAATGGTACTGAAACACAATTTGCTCAAATTAAAAACACCTTTGAAGTCATAAAATTCCCAGGATTGTTTGGTGGGAAGATCACATGAACCAAGTTGACTCAAAGTACACAACAGTACAGAGGTTGGGCATTATAATCATCCTTGAAGGTTTCTCAGGAAGGCTTGTCATTCCCAAATGTCTTGTATAATTCTAATGAGCCCTGGGCAGTGTATCCAATGTCAGTGATGACCAGGAATTATGGAAATCATCATCTAACACTTCTAGAGAGTGCCAGACTAGACAAACTCAAGAGTTGGTCATTCCAATTCCTTGGTAGAGCCAGCTTGTTCAATTGCAAAATATCTGAGGGTTTGAGCAGATTACAAAAGGGAGCTAGCAGAATCCTGCTCTGCCAGAGAGCATTTAGGAATTTGGGTAGATTAATGCTGAGAAATCATGCTAGGGATTAAGTCAGGGACAAGATTTTCTGCAGAGCTACGGTAGAAGCAATACTCAGCTGCTATTCTGGAGGGCCACTAAAGGCCATGTGGTAGTGCTAAGATATTACTGCAAAGGCAACACTGAAAATTTTCAGCCAGGTATTTTTTGTGTGTGTATGTGTGTGTGTATGTGCTTTTAAGAAGGAAGACATGCGATGCTGTCTTCCATCCAATGCTGTGATTGCACCCACTGCCAGCATGAAGGCAATGCACTTGAAGCCAAGAAAAACCGTTTCCCACCCTCCTTCAGATTCAGTTTCAACTTTCCATCTGGAATGCTGGAACAACAGAAGGTAATAAACATAAATGCTTTGAACAATCTAAGGACATACATGGAAGTATTATTATTTGATGTTGAAAGCTACCCATAGTCGCCTTGTAGCTAGATGGGCGGAAAA